ATGATGCACATGTTTACTGAGTGAGATTTCTGCGGCACATTTTCTGTTCACTCAGCAAAAAAGAGGTGCACAAATAAGGAGTTCAGTTGGTCAATCTTATATTTGTGTTACATCAAAAGAAACAACACGAGTCTCTCTTTAGGGAGACTCATGGTTGAAACTTTGGTCATTCTACATACATTATCTAATCTTGCTGCAACAAAATGCCATATGCCTTTGATTCAGTTCACAAACTCAAAGACACAGAACCACCACAGCCAATATGGGTTCAGTTTTAAATCTAAAGCTTTGCTACTTCACAAATATCATACTGTGTCCTCAAAATTGCATTTCCTTTTAAATTTGGCATTTTTGAATGACCTCTAATTTTGCTGACTTTTTGGCCCGACAACACAGGTGGAATCCTTGTGCAGTCAAACCCACTTTATTGTCCAAACATTAGTATGTTTGGGGAATAAAGGTGTTTCTAAGTTTATCAAAAGGGATTAAAACACAGGATGACAACATCTTTTTTGTCCTACACAGGATGGTGGAACTGTGTTGTATTGTTCTGTGCTCCGCACATTAGGAGACTCCAGGTATTGGTGCACCGGAAGAGAAAGTGGGAACAACAGGCTGCACACAAATCCATCTCCTCACTTCTCAAGGGCCTCTACCTTCCATTCCCATGCCAGAGATGCATCGGGCTCTGGGGCCAGCTAATCAAAGTCACTTGACTGAGAAGAGCCCCACTTACAGAGGTAGGGGGCAATATCCTCTCTGGGACCATTAAACACAAGCACAACAGAGGGTACTTGTTCCAAGTCTAAAGGACTCCGTCTGCTCATTAAGTTGTGGCTTCCTTATGATTCTTCTCAAGAAATCACCTGAGATGTTTAAAGAAGGGTGTATCTGGTGCTGCTCCATAATACATAAAAGAAAGTTACATTTGTTGTCCCATTTCAGTTTGACCAGTGCTTCAGATGTTCAACACAATGAGATGCAACCACAGGTAGATCTTTATAAGGCAATAAAGCTATATAGAATTGCAGATTATATATATATCCCCACTCACCCCCCCGGTCTTTGTATTCCTTCCTTCAAGCTCAGGTCCTCTACCAGAGGCCTAGGAGCTTTAGGGTCCTGCACAGTATCTTAGCTGTTCCTAAGACTGCACTCTTCTGGACAGAGATGTTGTTCCTGGGATCTGTTGGAGCCACTCTCCCAGTTTGGGGGTCACAGCCCCCAATGGTCCTATTACCACAGGGACCACTTGTGCCTTCACCTTCCACATCTTTTCTAGCTCTTCTTTCAGCCCTTGGTATTTCTCAAGCTTCTCATATTCCTTCTTCCTGATGTTGCTGTCGCTTGGGATTGCTACATCTATCACTACGGCCTTCTTCTTCTGTTTGTCCACTACTACTATGTCCGGTTGGTTGGCCATTACCAGTTTGTCAGTTTGTATCTTGAAGTCCCACAGGATCTTAGCTTGGTCATTCTCAACCACCTTTGGAGGTGTATCCCATTTTGACTTTGGGACTTCCAGCCTGTACTTGGCACAGATGTTTCTGTACACTATGCCAGCCACATGCATGGTTATGGCATTCCATGTATGCCCTGCCTGCTAGCATCTTGCACCCCGCTGTTATGTGCAGGGCATCTTTGCACAGCCTGCACTTGGGGTCCTGCCTTTCATGGTAGACCCCTGCCTCTATTGATCTTGATACTGATCAAATATCGATAGATCTTTTCGAACAAATAATTATTCATGTTGGGGTAATGAGAATTGTTGTGTACAGGGGTTGAAGAGGGACTCATTTTAAAGTGTGAAAAACTGAAGAGACAACGTACCTGGTGTCCATCTTGTAGCTTCTCCTTGTGTTGCATCGTGGGAGAATTAAACTTTAAAAATGACTGTAGTCTTCATAGGAATGTGATGAGAACTACATTATCAAATGATCGTTTGTGGGAGAACGTGGTGTCCGTAAATGTAGTTCTCATCTTTCAGCATTTTTCACATTCCTATGAAGACTACAGTTAAGATGAGAACTACATTTACAGACACAATGTTCTCTCACAAAAGATCATTTGAAAATGACACTGTATTATGCACCATGATTTACTTTACCACAAGATTATATTCACATATAGCAGACTGGATGGCTCAGTGGTGTTAAACACTGATCCAGCCTGGGTCCTTAGGCAAGGTCCTTAATGCTACCTGCCTACCTCATGGGTAATAAGTTGGAAAAACACCGACCTCTGATGTTGCCCGGGTGTAGAGGAACATCAGCCACCTGATGAGAAGTGGGCTACTGGAACAAGACATTCATGGACAAGAGCTGAGAACAGGGAACTATTGGAATGCTACTATACAAGTAACCTCAGTGAGAGGGGTTACATATGGAGGATGTGGGACCTATGGATACTTCGAAACCCAACATCTAGACTAACATCAAAACAACTAGTAGCTCAGTGTTCTGCACCTGCTATCACAACTAGAGATTGACAAGGTACAACACGCATGCTACGGCAAGGGGGAGCCAGGATGACAGGTCAGGAGGAAGATATCATCACTCCCACACTCGGAGATTGGGTACCAAGCCCCAGTAACAAGCCCAGATGAGCTTAATGCAAGAGCATTAAGACTGAAGATCTCGACCAAGATGGACATCTAGAACCTCTGTGGCCAGTTACCAAGACTAAGTGGAGTGTCTTCTGAAAGTCTAGTAGAGGATGCAAATGCAGCACTACGAACAATCCCTACTATGACCATCACTGAGACCAACAAGCTCATATACACCACAGCAACTGTGATCCTTGAGATGCTTGGCTATAAATTCAACAAAGGCCACAAGGAGCATTATCCTCCATGGAGAAGGAGGCCGAGATCAAGGCAACAAGGAGAGAAGTTAGTCAGCTATTGGAATTGCAAAAAGGCATGATGAAGAAAGGGGTACCTAAGAAGTACAACACACTCTCCATACCTGAGGCCTAGCCCTGGCCACTCGACTGAAGAGGTACACCAGAGAGGTTGAAGCCAGGAGAATAAACTGAATGTTCTCCACTGAGTCATCCAAGGTGTATTCTCATTGGCAGGGTAATAACATGAGAGCAGACCCACCAAGGCTGGAGACTGAACAGTTCTGGAAGAGCATATGGGAGAAGGAGGCATCACACAACAACAATGCCCAGTGGCTGGTGGACCTAAGAGCACCAGTAATCATCACAATGGCAAACATCGAACAGAGGATCTCAAGTATGAAGAGCTGGACAGCACCAGGCCCTGACATGATCCACACCTACTGGTTAAAGAAGCTAACTTCACTCCATGAGCACCTGACCAGACAAATGGTGGGTGGCAACCAGTTACTAATGGATGGAACCCACCCTGAGTGGTTAACTGAAGGCCGGACAGTCCTGATCCTGAAGGACCCTCAGAAGGGAGCAGTACCATCCAACTACCACCCAATAACCTGCCTCTGCACAACATGGAAGCTCCTGTCAGGCATCATAGCAGCTAAGATGGGCAGGCACGTGGCTCATGAGCAGGGCCCAGAAACAAACTGGTAGTAACAGCAGAGGAGTAAAGCACCAGCTACTGGTTGATAAAGTAGTCACTCGAGACTGCAAGTCTAAGCATACCAACCTGTACACTGCCTGGATTGACTACAAGAAAGCCTATGGACTACATTATATTCAGAGGTGTTCCTAATATTCTGACCCTCTTGTGTATGTCAATGGACAAAAATTTAGAGACACCTCTCAATCTAATGTAGTCCAGTACAACACCACCTTTAACTATGACCTCAATAATTAACATATAATTGAGTTTATACATTTATGACAATTTTGACAAAAACTGAAACATTTTGAGCTTCATAAACATAGATGTTAAGGCAGATGTGTTTCATTGAAGTGCATACAGATATACACGTTGTCATAATGTTATGCCTGATCGGTGTATATATCAGTGTATCAGTGTGACAACCTAAATGCATCATCTGAGGATGGAAACAGACTTTAAGCTCAGAAGGAGGGATACTATGCTGGATGACCTACAGTAAAGCACTGGGAGGCAGCAGTGGCTCAAGCTGAAATCATTTTTAAAGAATCAGTTCAGTGCTCAGTAGATGCCTGCTGTGTTGTTGTTTTAGCATTCCTCCCTCTTTGGCTTTAAGGATGACGGGCATTATTTTGCATTCTACAAAGCCTATAAATCCTATACAGGCATGTGTACATATAAAATAGTTCTTTTTTCTTACAGACACTATAAATCTATTGAAGGGGTGCCGATTACACTGACTCAAACATGACAATGCCATCACGGTTGTCTAAGTTTGTGCTTGAGACTACAAATTACACATACAAAACAGAAAGCCTGCGGAGGGTGTGGAGTCTAAAAGATGTGCACATTTATCCCAAGCTTTTCAAATCTGGATCATTACTTTACATAAGTATAAATTAAAGTAATGATCCAAGCTTTTCAAACCTGGATCATTACTTTAATTTATATTTATGTATGTGCAGATTACTCTAAATGTACGTCTGCATGTCTGTAGACTGTCGCCTGAAGACAGGTTTATGTGCACAGATTTTAGTAAGGTGTACATGTGTATAGTATATTGTTAATATTTTTGGAGTGGGAATGGTTTTGGATGGGGCTCATGGTCTGAGGATCGGGAAAGAAAAATGATTTATGATGTTTGTTTATTTATATAATGTATTCAAATGAAATGTTCCTTACAGTAAATATAATAATGTGAAGTATTACTACCAATATGCTTTGCCAGACATATTTTGGAGGAAATGTAATTTCTGCCTCGATTACACTCACAAGCAACATTTTTTTTCCAATCTAAGAAGTGTGATTATACTGCACAGAAGTCAGGGGATGGGCATATGGTGCATGTGACCGGAGGCTGGAATTCATATCCTGCATCCCCCATGTTAATATGTTAAGACTACAATAGCAAATTCTTAAGTTTATTAATATCAGGTTCAGGTTATTTAATTTGTACCTGAAGAGTAGAGTTGTAGACTGCCAACCTCTCCTGCCTCGCCTCTTGCCCAGTGTCAGCTGGGATATGCTCCAGACCCCACGACTCTATTCTGGAATACATGGTATAGATAATGGATGGATGGATAGATGGATGAAAGGGTAAATTTGTTTTGCAGTTCAAAGTGCATGGCATCCATGAACACAATTTTCACACCACAGTCATCACAGAATACAACACATAAAAGAACAAAAAATACAATGAAAATTAAAGTAATAAAATAATAGAATCAGATTGTAAATTGTAAAAAATACTCCAGTACTAATCAAAAGTAGATGCAAAAATAAATAGAAAATGAGAAATAGAAAATTAGACACTAACTCATCATAAAAGATATAGGGAAAAACTCTGAAGTGCATTACTACAACTTGTTTAGAAATGAGATGGCAGAGGGAACAAAATGGTTTTTATAACACCTAGTTTTACACCATGGGACTAAAAACATCTGCCCAAAGGGGAGAAGCTGAATTTGTCATTTAAAATGGTATTGGCCATCAGCTAACTGTCTAGTATATGGGGACGCCACTGGTGCTCTTTTTTACACACAGCTGCACAGTTCTCATCAAAGTTCAGTTTTGAATCAAAAATTGTCTCAAGGTATTTATAAGATGACACACATTACACAGATTGGCCCTTCATGGTTATAACAAGTGCTGTCACCTCACAGCAAGAAGGTTCTGGGTTTGAGGCCCGGCTGACCCAAGGCCTTTCTGTGTGGAGTTTGCATGTTCTCCCTGTGCCTGCATGGGTTCGTTCTGGGTACTCAGGCTTCCTCCCACAGTCCAAAAACATGATGCAGCTTAGGTTGATTGGTGACTCTAAATTGCCCCTAGGAGTGTGTATGGTTGTTTGTCTACATGTCAGCCCTGTGATAGACTGGCAACCTGTCTAGGGTGTACCCTGCCTCTCACCCAATGTCAGCTGAGATAGGCTCCAGCCTCCCTGCAGCCCTATTCAGGAATAAGCGGTATGGATGGATGTATGGTTATGAATATAAACATATTTCAAATATCATGTCTTTTGTTTTGATATGTTTAGGTGAAGTTATGACTCCTCACACCACTTCACAAAATCCATAACGATCGAGCATTAATTTGGTTCAAATCTTATGTAGCAGATAGAATGTAGTTTGTTTGTTCATGTTAATGATGAATCTTCCATAAAGTTAGTCATGGAGTTCCACAGGGTTCTGTGCTAGCTCCAATTGTCTTAACTTTTTACATGCAATATTATCAGGAAACATGGCATAAATTCCCATTGTTACACAAACGGCATTCAGTTATATTTATCTAGGAATCCAGATGAAACAGATCAACTAGTCAAATTTCAAGCATGTCTTAAAGATATAAAGGCCTGGATGACTTGTAATTTCTTATTTCTAAACTTCAAAACAGAGGTTTTTGTATACTATTGTTATAAAGAGTACTGTGAACTCACAAGGCAAGTAAAAAGGGTGCAGCGATACAGATAGCAGTTCGATATCTGGTCTGCATTTTCTGACAGTCACAGAATTATCATATCATTTGTTAAAATATAACCATACCCCACCACCTTACACTTTCTCTCTAACATGATAGGCATGCAGTAACAACTGTAACCTATTTTTCAATTACAGTTAAGAGTACAAATATTTTTTGTCACTACACTGGGTCTCCAACTAATAACAGTTATAATATACTGTAAATTAACTAGGGCTGTCAAAGTTAATGTGATAATAATGAGAACGCAAATTCTTTTTTATGCTACAAATTTTTTTGATGTGTGTTTAACGCACACACATTCTGTGATTATGACCCTTAGCCCGCTCCGTAGTTTGGGAAGTCAGGAAGTGATGGAGCAGCCGAAATGAGCAGAAATAGATAAAGAAAAGGGTCTTTGATTCAGAGAGCCCTCCCCCATCGCAGACCACACTGGATAGTTTGCAACAGAGATGCCTTGAGAACTCTCCAAGCAAAAAACTTTCAGCAGCTATAGCTAAATGGGTGGCTACAGTTTAACACTGTGGAGGATGAGGGTCTGCTTGAAGTAATTCAGATCACATCCAAAGACTGCTCGTATGAATTGCTTTCAAGAGCCACCACTGTAACCAAGATACACAACTTGCATGAAGACGAGAAAGCTAAACTGGAGGAGGCGTTGGGGTAGACAAACATGGTTGCGCTCATCAGAGACTACTGGACTTCTCTCAGTAATCACAGTTATCTTGGGGTCTCTTTAAAGTACAGTGGGTACGGAAAGTATTCAGACCCCCTTAAATTTTTCACTCTTTGTTATATTGCAGCCATATGCTAAAATCATTTAAGTTCAATTTTTTCCTCATTAATGTACACACAGCACCCCATATTGACAGAAAAACACAGAATTTTTGACATTTTTGCAGATTTATTAAAAAAGAAAAACTGAAATATCACATGGTCATAAGTATTCAGACCCTTTGCTGTGACACTCATATATTTAACTTAGGTGCTGTCCATTTCTGCTGATCATCCCTGAGATGGTTCTACACCTTCATTTGAGTCCAGCGGTGTTTGATTATACTGATTGGACGTGATTAGGAAAGCCACACACCTGTCTATATAAGACCCTACAGCTCACACTGCATGTCAGAGCAAATGAGAATCATGAGGTCAAAGGAACTGCCTGAAGAGCTCACAGACAGAATTGTGGCAAGGCACAGATCTGGCCAAGGTTACAAAAAAAAATTTCTGCTGCACTTAAGGTTCCTAAGAGCACAGTGGCCTCCATAATCCTTAAATGGAAGACGTTTGGGACGACCACAGCCCTTCCTAGAGCTGGCCGTCCGGCCAAACTGAGCTATCGGGGGAGAAGAGCCTTGGTGAGAGAGGTACAGAAGAACCCAAAGATGACTGTGACTGAGCTCCAGAGATGCAGTCGGGAGATGGGAAAAAGTTGTAGAAAGTCA